GAAAGAACAACAAGAACAGCAACAACAACAGCACCAACAACAAGAACAGCAACAACAACAGCATCAACAACGAGAACAGAAGAAACAACAACAACCGCAGCAGCAGCAGCAGCAGCAACAACGACAACAACAACAACAACACCAACACCACCACCACCACCACCACCACCACCACCAACAACAACAACAACAACAACAACAACAACAACAACAACAACAACCACAACAACAACATGAACCTCCACCACAAGAAGATGAACCTCCACCACAAGAAGATGAACCTCCACCACAAGAAGATGAACCTCCACCACAAGAAGATGAACCTCCACCACAAGAAGATGAACCTCCACCACAAGAAGATGAACCTCCACCACAAGAAGATGAACCTCCACCACAAGAAGATGAACCTCCACCACAAGAAGATGAACCTCCACCACAAGAAGATGAACCTCCACCACAAGAAGATGAACCTCCACCACAAGAAGATGAACCTCCACCACAAGAAGATGAACCTCCACCACAAGAAGATGAACCTCCACCACCAGAAGATGAACCTCCACCACAAGAAGAACTATCACAACAACAACAACAAGCACGATATAAACTGCCACAAGAACTACCACCACAAGAAAAACTACCACCACAACAACCATGGCATGACCCACCACAAGAGAAAGATCAACAACCACCGCGACAACACACAATACCACAAGAAGAATCACCACAAATACAGCAATTACAACAACAACAGCAACAACCGTCACCACAACGGCCACAATTACAATTACAAGAAGAACAACCACCACAACAACAACCATCACCACAACAACAAGTACAAGAAGAACAAGCACCACAACAACGAGAAAAACCACCATCACAACAGCCACAATCACAACTAAAGCCACAAGAAGAACAAGTACCACAAGGAGAGCAAGTACAACAAGAACAAGGACAACAGGAAGAGCAAGGACGACTACCACGAGAACAACAACAAATTTCAAGAGGACAACAACAACAATCATCACCACAAGAAGAAAAACAACCACTATCCCAAGAACAACAATCACCACAAGAAGAACAACAACCCCCACAAGAACAACAACAACAACCCCCACAAGAACAACAACAACAACCCTGCTGTTGCTGCTGCGGTTGTTGTTGTTGGTTCTGTTGTTGTTGTTGTTGTTGCTGCTGTTCTTGTTGTTGTTGCTGCTGTTGCTGTTGTATTTGGTGATGATGATGGTGATGATGATGGCGTTTGTCATCATTGATGTTACTATGTAGCACTTCGTCTTCTTCTATGGTCGAGTCTGACGCCGTCTCGCAATTTTTTAGATCGTCATCGGCAGTTCCTCGCCCACCACCTGGCAGCAGAGTATCAATATCTGTATCCTCATCGGACAACGTTGCATCGCTGGTTGGCGGGGATCCGTTTTGGTCTTCCGCAGCCTCGACTTCGTCTTCGTCATCATCTTCATCCATATTCAATTGATTTCGCAAAGCCTGATAGTCCAGCTGACTACTGACTACACTTTCGGGCAAAACAGGAACTGACAGCGGGGGCGTATTAGCACCGTCATCAGCTACTGACCACCCATCCGTGGTCAGCGTCGCTGTCGAAGGAGATGCAGTCCGGCCAAGATCATTATCATCATTAGCACTAGAAGTAGGCTGTTCAGTTGGTTCAATGGAGTTTGATTCTTGGGTGGGCGTACATTGATGTTCACTCTCTCCCGAAGGCTCGCCCTCCTTCGGGAGAACCTGCAAGTTTCCCGACCCGGCGGTTGTTGTTGTTGTTCGTTCATTTTCGGGGGTCATTAGTCTATGCCTGTTTTCATCGTGTGACTCGCTACCCCGTTGCGATTTTGGTGTTTTCGTCTGTTCCGAAGTTTCTATCTCCAGCGACTCTTCCATTTCCTCAGCCTCGTCCCCGCCTTCTATACCTTTATCATCTCCATTTTTAGAAACTAATAACCTTTGTTTTCGATGGTCATCATCATCATCGTCTTTGTAATAATCGAGATTTGGGCTCATGTCTGAGGAGCGACCCCGCAAAGCTTTTCGATCCTTCTCGTCTGTAATTCTATGATCGAGAGATTGGTTGTCTGGTAGCAATGTCTCAGGACAAGGTAGCGGCCGGTCTGCGGTAACAATCTCGGGTGAAGCAGCTGGATCGGAAAAGTCTTCTTCATCAAGAATTACACAGTCCGGACTGCCATCTTCATCATCATCTTCCGACTGGCTAGGATGTAATCCAGACGGCTCCTCGAGGTTATCGTCCCGCGTAAGGTCCACGTGTCTGTCTTTCTCTTTTATTGATCTTAGTTGCTCACAAAGTTGCTCTTTCACTTTATCACCGATGTTGCCCTCACTAAAGTTACTTTCACATGCCGGATCAGGCTCGTCTATTCCCGCCAACCGAACTTCGTCGGCCTGTTGAGAATCACCTAACAAGGGCACGTCTTCTGGTCGCAGTTCTTCGTGAGTATCTTCCCGGCTTGTCAAAACGGCAAAGGAATCGCGTTTGTTAGCAGGTTCCGGAGTTGTTGCATCCCTAGTATCATCCTCTGATAGCATCGCTACATCAGGATCGGCAACTGTCCTGGCCGATAGCTCTAGACGGTCCATATTTTCAATATCAGCTAACGCTCCCGAGGTATCAAGTAGATGATCAATGGCAGTTGTTGGTCGACTTTCGCTCAACTCCGACCCTATGGCGTCGTCAGACATATCCGTCGGTGGCTCTTCATCGGTAGCTACTGAAAACATCAGTTCTGAGCCGAAATTTTCGTCAACATTCGTCCCTGCATGCGAGGGCGTGCCCACCGTCGATGTCGCGTATGAGTGGCTACCTCCGGAAAGAACTCCAGACGAGGGACCAAAGTCCACCACTCCCGGTAGCAGTGGGTAGTAAGTAACCCGATCAGACTCAACCAAGGTAAGCATATCAGCCATAAGCTCGTGCACCGTTAGCGGCACAGGAACCGTAACAGGCGGCGGATTATCAATTAACCAATCTACCCGTTGTAAGTGATCCGCAAGCTGCCGGCACTCTCGTTCGAATCGAGCTCTCGATTCAGAGGTCACTAATTCATCAAGAACTAGCCGATGGCTCGCTGCTCGATGAAAAGCAAGTCGTCGCCGTGGAATGGCTACCGGAGAAGGAAGTGAGCACTTCGGTGGAGGGAGTAGGCGCAAACCCACTCGTCGTGCCGCAAGACAGAGCGACGGCGGAACAAGATTATTGCACTTACGACGGTGGTTTGCTGACACTGGAACACCGTGCTCTGCCAACACTTCATGCAATGTTTCGGAGCAATAAGGCAGCAGTGTCGCTATCCGCGCCTCCTCTTTAGCCAACAGCTCCTCTTCTGTGTCGTTTTCGGATTTTATGGCGATGGCGACGGCAGCAGCAGCAGCTACAGCTGAAGGTTTCGTTGAAGGATTTGAAGACACAGTGATGGATGAAGGTGGAGGAGGCGGTAGCGGCGGTTCGGTCACGGGCGGTCGTTCGACTTTGATGATCGGACTGGCCACAGGTTTCAAGGATTCGAGCTTGGGTTGTAATTCTTTGCTCAGCAGCTCAGCAGCAACAGCAGCTGCTGCTGCAGCTGCTTCTTTAGCCAGTTCGTCAGACCTTCGTTTAGCTTCAAGCGCAGCCAAACGAAGATTCTCCTGTTCTGCAAGATTCTCTTCATGTTCCCTACGTATTCTAAACAGATGCTCGCGTTCCTCTATAGCACTCTCCGCTCTGCTAGCTGCTGACGTGCCCCAGACGATCTCAAAGTTCCGTCGTTTCCAACCATCGACGGATCGAAGATGCTTCTCGAAATCGGCTTTCTGCTTAAGCTGGCTTTCTGGCGTTAAGTCACCTAACGTTAATCGATCCCGCCATTCCTGGCAGGCGCTGGCGAAGAACTCGTTGTTTAATGCCGAATCGATGTTCACCTCAACGTCCGCTTCGGTCGGTGAGACTGTGTGTGTTCCTATCACATTGCCCATTCTTACCAAAGCTTCCTGATTTCGTCGGGTGAGCTCGACAGGAGGAAGCAACGCTAATAGCTGCCGTTGCTGCGTCCGCGGCAATAATGAAAACGCATAAGTGGACAGTAGCTCCTTGACATTGACGCCCGCTAGTATCGAATCAGGGGTCTCGAGATCCACAAAGCCACGCTTGGCTTCCTCCAATTGCTGTGACAATGTCATTTTTTTTCCAGGCCGTCTATTTAACCTGATGCCACATTGATCCGAGAGATTGGTGAGCATTTCACGCATGGTCCGGAAGTTCGTGCTAGGTGTCGGGGCAACTCTGCCACTTCGACTTGACAGGCCCGAACCGGCTGACGAAGAACGTGTCGAAGGATTACTGCTAATTGTATGAGGAGTTGATAAGATCTCTGTAACCATCGGCATAATTTGCGGAAGCGCATCAACCGTAACTGCGCAAATGGGAATGACTGCCGTTGTTGCAGCGGGGCTTGGCTGTTGTGGTTGATCTTCATTAGCGGCACCCCCGCTTGCTGAACTACCAGCAAAAGGGGAACTTGCACGTTCGGGACTGGATACGCTAACATGCTCCTCCACTGATGGACCCTTTTCATCGGAGTTTCGTTGAGGTTTCGGTCTGAGACACCTCTTCGGAGGCGGGGTCTCATCTTGGCCCGGTGCTTTCCGTTTCAGCTGGGGCAGCTGTTGGGCTACGATGTCGTCCGGCGCGACATTTTCTGCTTCGCTTTCCGCTGTGCCTGGGGCTTCGGTCGCGACAATCGAAGCACCGTTAGCTAAGCTGCTGCTATTGGCATTATTACTGCTGCCACTGTGTCCATGCGCGTCCACCTTCAACAGCTGGACTTTGGGTTTGAATCGAGAGTCGTGTCGGCTCTCGTCATCCGTGTCGGCGTCCGTCTCAACGATCGTCGTTGACGGCGGCAGGTCGCTGCGCAGGCCGAAACAAATCGTAGGGGCACCCTGACCGTCTGCTGGTAACAGCAGACGCCGATAGAACATCGAGTGCGGGCCACGACTGTGGGCGCGCATCATCGAGAAAAGGCACTCTTTTGAGCCGGGGGTAGTATCTCGCAGTCCGCGCTCCTGGATCCGCTCGAAGATTGTGGCAATAGGTAGCGCTTCTTGCGCGCCCAGTACCAATCGAGCGGCCTCGGCCCACGGTCGTAGCCTGCGTCGCCGCAAATCCGCAGACATAATACCAGCTGCTAGCGTTGGGCTCGTTGCGCCTAACACCACGGAGGCTGGCGAAGGTGGTGCCGACTGCGGCTGCGGCGGCGCAGCCGAACTTGACGATACTGCAGATGCCGTTGTTAACGCAGTTATTCTCGCAGCGGCAGTAGCAACAGCGATAGTAGTCGCAGTGAGAGCAGCATCTTGCTTGTCGTTCACGTTATCAAGGCCGTTGATGTTGCTGTTTTGTAGCGAGCAGCAACAGTCGCAGTACAGGTGTTGTTGACGTTGTGAAAGAACGGCACCCACGGCACAGTTGATCGCAGGGGAGGCTACATCCTGCTGCTGCTGCTGTTGTTGTTGTTGTTGTTGTTGTCGTGCTGTGTCTGGCCTCCGATGAGTTGCTCCGGTGGGAGCAACTAAGGGATCCGTTGTTAGCCGCGCTCCGGATCACTGCGACCCGTCGCCACAGAATCACATATACACGCACACACAAATTATACACACTACATTAAACGGGGTCCTCATCTGATACACTTCACAGGGGCAACAGCACTGCAACAATGCAGCCCATAACCATGGCAATAGTCATCACACCAGCACCGTGATGGCTAACCATCCACCTCCACTGGCAATTCCCATTGATTCGCAACGACGGGCAAGAGCTGCTAGGGCTCGCCAGCTAACTAACTCTCCTAGCTAGCTGGCTGGCTGGCTGGCTGGCTTGTCTTCTTCTCCAGCAGCAGCAGCAGCAGCAGCAACAGCAGCAGTCGCAGCAGCAGCAGTTGTCGCAGCAGCAGCAGCACCGCTACGATCACTACCAACACCAGCACACAAGCATAACAACAACAATATCACGGACTAACCGTAGTTGGAAGTTCGTACCGCTTGTGACTTTCGCAACGGCGCGAAATTTGAAATGCTTTTTAACATCAACATGCGCTGATTCGATGGCATTACTATAAGAAGGCTCAATGTCGAGCGTTCATCGTAAATGACTTTATTATGAATTGGTTAATGATTAGATATAAAAAGCGGCTTACAGGATGTCATTTTTATGTTTCTATCCAGTATGTGTTTGCAGTGGCTTCAGCGAAGTGTGTTTGTAAGCCACGGCGGTAACAGGATGCCAGCTGTTCATGTGCAGAATGCTGGACAATTCCGCCGAACTGGCCCGCCAATAAATAGAACATAATGACGAATCCATCAATGAACAATAATGAATATTGGATCAGTTGCTTATAGGTTTTTTAAGTTAGTCCGTTATACACTTTAGGTATAATATAACATGGCGGAATAGTTGGGTTCTAACTATGGTGCTATTGCCCAACAAGCCAGCTGTTCGTCATTGTCCGCCATTCTGTCGCCCTAAACCAACAACTTGGTCTAGTTCTTGGTTATTTGCCTTTACTGCTTAATGTCCGTTCGTTTGTGCCTGTCTGTATCTGGTATTCAAAGCTAACTGCTGCGATCGCAGGTAGCCGATGACTCTTTGGAGCTGTCTCTGTATGAACTGCTGCGTGTCCCATAAATCCTGTTCTTTGTCTGCTGCCGTACTCTTTTAGCGATTTCTTATAGGGCAAACAACTTTGGCGTTGTTGTTGATGTGTGGGTGGGTGTCTTGGGGAGTATATGGGTACCTTACAAGTCGAATTTGATAGAGGTGGTTATTTCTCAGATGGGAGTGCCCATGCAAAAAATCGAAGCCGAACCCCAGTTAGGGCGCACGATTATTTTTATTCCTGATTAGGGTAGCAGTGCTCGTAATAGTATGTCTGTGATAGCTGTTTTGTGTCTGCTGTTGGAGCACCAAGAGACCGTCTGCTCTCATCACTAGGGTTACCGTTGTGTGGTCGTGGCTCGTATTTGCAACTTCGGTCTGACGGACGACGTTCTTAGTTTTACCAGCTGCCGCGGCGGCGGTAGAAGCAGCACCAGGACGGACACAGGGCAATAATAGTAGGCTACTGTAACCTGGGCAAGGGCCATACAGACAACAGAGAAAACAGGCGGCCCACAGATCCTGATTGATAGAAGATCGACACTGGCAATGCTAGCCACGGCGAATAAACAGATTGACATCGGTGCTATAAAAGAGACGAGTAAGTAATTAAGCAACAGCAATCACTTACGACGGATGGACGGACGATAGGTAAGGCCGTGTAGGAAAAAGCAGCAGGCCCAAGTGCCAACAGCGAGCGCAGAGCTCATCTTTTGTCATCATTGTCAGCGCTGGAAATTTTGTTACTACTTCTAATTATCTGTGGCCACTGCCTGGAGATATTGGTGTTTGTATGTTGTTATCACCGCCGAGACCATCATCGTCATTGCGCATGTATAGGCCGTTTTATTACTGTTCTCGCCACCACATCGTTGTTGTCTTTGAGCTTAATTGCGCGCAAAGGCATATTCCACCATTTGTTTGTTGCCCTCGGTGGCTGTTCATGTGAGCCTACTGCCGCTGCTGTTGCCATAGGAAATGTAATTAATAGCGCCCACACAAGTAACGAAGCTATCGTGTATCGGGCGGCACGGTTTTTGTCAATCGCTGAGCAATACAGCTGTCAAATAAACAACGAACACGCAGTGACTGCCGCCACCGTCAAGAAACCCCTAGGCTTCTGCAGCAGCACACGCCTGTCTATGCTATAGCTGCCATTCGTGTTTCCGGTGCTGCTTGTGCTGATCGTTGTGCAAAGAGTCTGTCCCTTGGTTTTAAGGAATTCGCCTGCCCCCAGCTTCCCCGTTGACCCCAACCGTCCCTTGTAGTTCATATTGCAGTAACAACAGCAGGAGAAGGTGGCTCAACGGGTATCATATTGGCGTCGTTTGAAATGTCGAACCATGCGTTTTCCTGCTGCTGCGAAGTATAGCTCGGGAACGGTGGCGGTGAATTCCTGTAACGTGCAAGTGTGTGATTGTATCTGTGCGGAAGAAAGGGACAATTAGAACGATTTTAAGGAACATCAGAGGCATTGGTAATATCCAGAGAAAGGCCGTAGTAGCTGCTGAACTGCAGTTTTGTCTTAAGGATTGGAAACGCACGACGGTGGGTGGGTGGGTGTGAATTTAGTGTGGAGGTGTAGCACTGTGACAGCACTTTTTTTTTTGGGGGGGGGGGGGGTAGAACGGAGTCCTGTGGTCCTGTCACGTATCATAGATGGATAACCTTTGTTGTGGCTGGACAAAGTCTCGAAGGGAAGGAGAGTCAGGGTGTGGGTGGTTGAGAAAAGTCTACCCGACAGTGAACAAGCGAATCGAATCATTTACTTCCACTTCGAGCAGGCCGCTACAAATTTGCTCTGTGCATTATAGGTTTGAGCAGAAGGCGCGATTGTAATACTGCGACCACATCGTCCCTTATCATAAAAGCAAGTTTTGGTCGCCACAGTTTTCATCGTAACCTCGAGCAGCAGAAACAACGGCATCAATATTGGATAAACAGTGTTATTCCAAAGCAAAAAATCTATCGTTAGAACAAGGTAAGATATGGATTCACACATTAATTTCGTTTGCGTCTTGTATCGCTCCTTTAGTGTGTCGTGATGATTTTTAAGACGGAAGGCGAGACTGTGGTGCGACTGTGTCAGTCGAAAGCCAGAGGGCCCAGAAGAAATTTACCACCTGTGAATATTGGCCACTGTGTACACGACACCTCTTGAATATAAAGATTATCGTTTCTTGGTATAGCAAGCCAAACACGTAAATCATCTCCTCACCGCATGTCTACTATATATATACCGTAATGCAGAACTCGATCTCTGTCTATAGGACCTACCACCTCGCCGTCGTTTTCCTGATACGCTGGCTAGCTCTACACGTATGTTGACATATTTTGAAAAAATTTAGGTCATCCACAATGTATCATAAATAGAAATATGTTATAATTATCGATTACCGTTGTCAGAGACTCCACAAGGAAGAAAAATTACGACATATGTATAATCAATTTATCAAATGTTTTCAAAATATTTATAAAGTGCTGTTAATAATATTTGTTGTTTGTTTAGCTATCAGCAAGAGCACAACTGCCACATTTAGAATTGCCACCCGGTGTAGGACTAATTATTACAACGTTTACTGACTGACTGGTCGATTCATATTATCACGGCTACTATTTGAATTATTACTGATATTGCTGAGACAATTAGTTGTTGTTACTCGGATTTATTGGTCGGCGTCATATGAGCGGTACTGACGTCGGGTTGTTTATAATAGCGATGGCGGCCACCTCGACTGTGGTGTAACGGTTCAGCATACAGCAATCCTTGCCATTCAGCGTAACTCTGCTTAACACTAAGAATATGATATTAGCTGCGACTAAAATGGGGGAAGAAAATTTTGCAACTCTATGGCGCTCCATTTGCGTGTCCGTCCAGCCGTGAGCAGTACTACATTTGACTAGTGGTATGAATATGTGTGTTTATGGGCCTATTCGGTGTATGTTTGCGTGGATGCATTTGTATTATTGTCGTGGAGGATGCTGTCTATTTGTCAACCCATCGGCTTGTGATTGTATCTATGGCTATAAACCGCTCTTGCTGTTGTTTGGCTTTGGAGCGTTCGCCGTGGTCGAATGGCTACGGGTCGCCACCATTGACAGTTGCTGTCGCTGCTATTACTGCCATCAGCACTATCGAAGCGACTACCAGCGTTGCCAGCAGCATTGGACAATATTGACGGCTCACCGGCTTACGGCCAGCTCTATTACTGTAGCAACTACAGCGACTGCCACTCGCACGCGTGAATTAGTAGCGGCAGTATGTAACTGGTTGTTTCGTCAGCCAATGAGTCCAGTGACACGTCCGCTGTCTCCCTGCTAGCCGCCAGTTTGATTAGATACATACACACACACATGTGTATATCTATACTTAATGATCACCATGCCACATCACAGACCCTCTGTGTGTATATTATAATGATGATGATTGAGGCGGTGACAACTGTAGGACAGGAAAGGCTGTTGTGATGAATTAAAATGACTTACTGGCCGACCTCAGCTAGAGCCTTTGTAACGGACAGATTGCTCTGATCAATTACCTAACCCAGTCGAGCACTGTCGACTTAATTCGTGTTGAACGCAACAACGCAGCGGAACTTTTGCAAATGGAAAATATGCAATGGAATATCTGGTAAAGGGAACAACGATTTTAACAGGGAAAATAGATGTAATAGGAACTTGTACGGACTATGGAGTAGATTATACGTATGCTGAATGTACGAAACGTGTTTGTACGAATTTTTAACTTTCGATGTAATTATTCGGCGATGTCTGCTATTAGTGAACGTGCTGAATAGATATATAAAAATAAAAAAATTATAGGAACCATAAAGTTTAAAAATCTGTTAACGTAAATGTCATCTCCATACTTAGGCATTGCTTTTGTAGGAAAATTATCGAAAATGCACATACTTAGTGTAGCGAGCATGCCTTAACAATAATTAAGGTGGGTACATGTATTATACAATGGTCGAAAACTATCTAGACTATTTTCTTAAATATACAAATAAAGAGTTCAGAGAGATTTAAAAATTTCTTTGAAGGTGCAAATATGTATTTTCCAGGTTACGAGCACGATATGCGTAAGTTATACGTAAGTATTGCTATGTACTGGTGTCATATGAGCATCCGGCACTCTATCATATCAGAGCCATTTTACCCTGTGTTACAAAAAAAGTGTCATATGTGTTGATTCTAATCACAATAATATGTTAGTATAACTTTTTGTACAACTTTTGCGCAACTTTTTGTAAATATTAGGTTCTAGATGGTTGATGATATGTTTTTTGATATGATGTATATGGTTTTTGTGTAAAGGGAGCTGTCAGTACCCGTTATACAGTATTCAGTTTTAACCATTGATACTTCTTAAATATCCAGAACTTGTACATTTTTTGAAGGGTAAGTAAATTTCTTGGGGTTATATTCTTAGTCGACGCTCATGACAGACATTCTAAGGTAACTCCACTGAGTAAGAATGTTGCTGTCTTAAATTTCTGCCAACTATAATTAGATATATATATATATATACCTTAAGTAGTATAGAAGTAAGTTCTAAGTTAAGGGCCAACAGCAGATGATCCAGAAGTACGCAGCATTGGCGGAGTTTAGACCATATGTTGTTTAAATATATTATTTTAAAACGTAAAAGAAGTTATTTTTTGCTCAGCATAATCTTTTTAACTATTCTAGAATGTCGCGACGCCCTTTGAAGCGAATGTGTGAAGTTCATACACAGGTAGACGGAAAGTTTAAGTATAGAATATGTGTACCTTTTATAAATGTCTTTTATGTGTATTTTTATGTGTAAATATGTATTTATGCACTTAATACCTTACGAGTGCTTCTGTGTTCATTGAGTTGGACTCAGTGACATGTAACATACGTCATCGTTTCTTTTGCATCTTTTATTGCAGTTTCATTTTGCAAACTTGCACGTTACTTATCACTTGCCATCCAATAAATCTGAGAAGCAAAACTAATATATACAGTAAATCAACAGGCTTCAATCAAATCTCATCTAAACCACTTCCTACAGTGTTTTGGGTGAATATCTAGCTATATTTTGGAGTGTAACGTTGTTATTGGCGTACTGTGGTTCGGGTGTATTATCATACGCGTGATTCATTTCTGTTCTGGCACATCGTCCATTATTTAAATGGGCTTTACTTCGTTTATAACTTAGCATAATGGTGCTAATGGAAACAATGGTGCTCTCTGTACATCAAAATCATATAATCTATTACGGTTAAATGCCCGTTTACTATAATTATAGCTCATTTTAATATTCAATAACGCAACTTTTTGTTACGCCACACCAAACTGTCAACCTTTTTCGGCTGGTCAGTCAAGACATGTATATTAAAAAACAAGTCAACATGTGACTAAAATCACGTTTGGATGAATGTGAAGCATTTCTGTGTTTGAATCTTTATAATGGTGTAATACGGAAGAAAGAAATATGCAAAAAAGATCTGCAGTATCTTAGCCAATCTTTAAGGTCTATGAACATGTAAGCATGACACAGTATATTTCTTAACCACTTAGCTTTATAGAAAACGTATTGAGAACTACAGGCACTTGCAAATATATAGGGGTTACTTCCAAGTACGTAGACGTATCGCTTTATTTGAAAGCAGCTCCACATAGCAACGACCTGTGTCCTAATTTTGGTCTTTGTTGCATTTTATATGCTAGTACTTTCCTCCACATTACTGCCCTGCTTTTCGTTAAAATCTACAAGGTTGTATTTTTTACGATGTGCCAACAGTTTTCATAAATAACTAATCAGTCTTAATTCATTGCCGAATAGATAAGCGTATATTGTTTGCAAATGGAGGCTGTGGATGCTGAATAGGGCTGGCAGTAGGCGTTGACGGAGCCACTCGCAGTCATCGGTTACGGTCATGGCTTGCTGTGCTGTGTTATTGCTTGCTCGAGGCGTGACGCGTCGACGCCACGCTTCCAGTCAGCTACCAAAGGACAAATAGTACAAGTTGTTTGCTTGCCAAAGCCATCGGCCATAGTCAACAGTGTGATTAAATAGTAGTTGCAGTAGCAATGAGGATGAATGACTACGTGCCGAATCTTAAATTGTTTAGAAATTAATTAAGACATCCTGGCTGTGTAAACTCAGACGTACCAGTACCAGGTTAAAACTAACGTCGCTGTAAATGAGTTGCAGATTTCATCGTAAGTTATGAGTAGAGTGTCTTTTATCCATTGGTACTTAAGGCATTAGCATGCTGATCGTTCCAAGCAAACGCTATATGATTCTTAAAAATTATCTATTAAAAAATCTGGAAAGCAAAAGCGCCTTAAGGAAGGCAAGTATTCAGCTAGAAAAAATATACGTCTATATAGATTAGCATCTTGGAAGCTTTGTATGAAAAAAAGGTAATCCTTAGTCGGAATCCTCTACTGAGAGAAGAGAGCTAAGCAGTGGTTCACATATGATTGCTCTTAAAAAGGCAATCACACCCGAGTTTATAGTTTAGTCAGTAATATTTTATCTTAGATTGCGCGTCCAACATAATAAGTACTGCAATTTGCATGAACTGGTCGGTGAGTAATTATAAAAAAGAGTGAATGCTTTACAGTAACAAGATGGCAGTGTCTCACTAGAAATACTTCATCAAGCGTAGTCTTGGACAAGATAGTTCTGAATAAAAAAAAAATCAGTAAAATAAGTGTTTAAATGTGCTACGAAAATGTACAGAGTTTATTGCAGAGTGCTAGATCTTGTTGCAGCGAATGTTTGCTGTAGTTTTTGAATTCCCTCAGAAAGATTTGGTGCAGCCTATCTTTCAAACCTTAAAAGTTCAAGGTGACTTCTACTATTTCCGAGTAACATTAAATAAGCACAATTATCGACAAACATTGAATGATAAAAAAAAACACAGGCATATACTGCTACTATCACATCACAAGACATCATTGCATTACTAGGGTGTTGAAAAGCAGGATGTGACTCAAGTTACCTTGACATATGTATTATAGGGTAACCGAAGGTCCGTGTCATGTATTACCGATACCTGTAACAATCAGAATATAATTTTATATTAATTTCACTTAAACGTTGGATTTCAACTGATCTGTTGGTACGACGTTTATAAAGTGCTTAGTTTATAAAGTTGATAGAATTGGATGGCAAAAAAAATTTGAATGAAACTGAACTGGCAAGATAAGAACTGGTATCAGAATATATATACATGCCTTTTGGTTGAGAAGTTAAGGGACTAGAGGGAGCTAAGTGGGTTTATTATGTCGTTACTGACTTGGGTCGTATTAGTGCCAAGCTAATCTGCAAAAGCGGTATGAATCCAAAATATTGCACAAAACACTTCAGATATTCATGTCAAAAATGACTGGAAGTTAAAATAAGTGATGATTCTAGGAAGAAATGGAATCGAGATCTATAATTGTGCAATATAAATGAATCGTGGAAACAGTGGCGGCATCCATTAAACAGTAAGATTAAAAGAATTGGGAAACAAGGGTATTGGTGATAACATTACTGGTCCATTAAATTAGTAATAGAGCTATTCACCCACTTGTGATTCATTTGGGTTCTAATATCAGCCGTAAGTACTGTATATTGGAGTCTGTATATACGACAAATTTGTATATTCAGCAAAAAATATCGGGATCCTATTTATTCTCACCTATCTAGGTACTATCTGCGACGGCGCCCATTAGTCCGCCTGAGGATTGACGAACGTTCCTTTGACGTTGGCAAAACGTCGATTCGATGATTTAAAGTAAAACGATCCACAAACGTACCACATGTTTTACGTTTTTAATGTGTTTCATTCATTAAAGATATGTACAAAAGCATGAGTCACAGACAAGAGTTTTTAGAGTAGGAAATGAAATTTTGATACGAACTTCAGCAACTTTTGTAAATAGCACATCCGATAGCGAACTCACCAGTTTCAATTTTCTTTTCCTTATGATTGTTCAAAAGTTCTACGAAGTAACCGCGTGAGGGGTGCATTTCCATGACTTCATTCACAATAGTATAACTGTTTGTCCTTCGACGTATTAATTCGAAGTACCATTTTGTGTACTCCTTTTCGTTATCAAAGGATATACTATTGTCGCTTACGTACATTCGTTCTCTAGTCCATGCAAGAGTCAAACAATTGGGCATTCGTTCACACCTCCAAAAGTGGGACTGTTCACCAAGAGATCCACGATGACAGCAATTGCTGTTTATATTGCTGTGTTGACTGCCACAAATTGCCGTTAAGACGTTTGAATTTCTAGGGATAGTCAGGTTAAGGCAGCCTGCAGGCGTCTATTCACTGCGCAAGCAGCTAACGTTTGAGCTAACTTTAAGAGAGTATTGCATCCGAATTACGTTCGATCGAGTTTTTCACTAGTACATATAATGACACAGACACACTATGAGTATAGACACCAAAAATAACAGAGTGCAGCTCCTGTACAAACTTAGCCACTTATGGAACGCCTATTTGCGCTGAAAAATTGTCTAGTGGGCTGCAGGAACTGAAAAAGAGGGTGTAGTTCACGTACGCTGTCCAAAAATTTCTATCACATGCTCTTGGTGTAATAATGATAATAGCGATAGAAACACAAGGTACAAAGCGTATCACCCATGCCATAATTTTCATTGCCATTCAGTTAGTAATTCTGACGAATTCTTGATCCTTAGAGATTCTTTGCATTTAATGTGAGATGACGTAAATTGAGAGGATACGACGGACTAGCTGAAAGCGTTTTCCAGTATAATACAGATCAACAGAAGGCATGAGGCAAAGAAAGGTTAATACTGTCGTATTTGATCAAGATCATCATCTTTTAGTGAATTTATTATTGCTTTCTAATATAGATCGCATGTTGATATCAAGCTGGCATAATGAAAACCACGTTATAGTACCTCAACGCAACGGCTTTGATAGGTCTACCGATTTTTTGCCATCGTTAATTTAAATCGAAACGTCATACCATATTTCGGCACTACCTATCGTTCTATATAACAATATTAATTGATGAAATAACTCGACTTTGGAGATTTGATTTTTTAGTTTTTCCAATTCACCATTATAACTAATATAACTATACACTAAACACGCAACGTAACTCTCATCTGTCCGAAGTCTGATGGCTGCGTTTAGTCATGGCAACGGCAATCGCTGAGCCCAACCGATTTTTTGACACTATTTTTACTACCATTATCTGCGCAGTGTGCCATTACAAATTATAACATCTGTAGTTGTTCGTAGTGCTTTTTGTGCACGTGGCGCATTAAGGCACGGGCTCAGGCTGCTATTACCCTACTTGTAATTTACGTGTATTATTTTAAAAGAGAAATTGAGATTGTTATTTTTGTTCATACTTAGAGTATGTATGACTGGCAAAAAAAAGCTTCGACAGTCATCAGGGTTGTACTATGAGTAAATTTAATAATCTGTCGGTCGGATTAGGTTACTGTATTTCTACATTGAGGCTATCAACTTGATAATGGATTAAGAGTGAGAGAGACTGAAGCAACTGTTGGATAGTAGATACGAGCTAATTTACTACATAGGCGTGGTATGTGAGTAAATATTTGTACTACACTAGGTTTATACTAGTTCCAATTGTGTGAAGCCGGTGAGCATAAATCACAGATGTTTGCTGTCACAGTATTTTTCGTCTGCTAAAGACAATTGGGGTCATTCTGTTCTGGGTTCACTTTGCAGGGTCTTCCCTAGGTGCTTTGACGAAACTATTTTAACTAATCAGATGCTATCGTAACGCCTGTAAACAGGCGTTGAGAAGGATAAATGGAATTGGTTTATTTGTCAATTATATAGTTACAATCGTAGTGAATTTGTCTACCCTTCTTGGACTGCCAAAAATTAAAAATAATATTTTACTTGTATAGAACCGTTGTTGCGGTAAGCGGTAAAAGCCACATTCAGTGTCTCTTTGGTCCAGATGATCTTCTCTTAAGTCGTTGTAAAGCATTGCAGTTACAAGCATTGCTACTAGTTATTTGCCGTTTGCATTCCCTGAAAACGTTGATAAGCCTACAAGTGGTACTCAGTTTGACTTTTCGTTTAGAAGCTGATTAAAGGCTCTGTTAAAGCACAACTGGCTAAAACAAGGCTTTAGATAACGAATAATTTCATAAGGAAGAATCGTGCGAATTTCACAAGAACCATCTTATTATTAAGAAAAAAAGTAAGCAAACGATTTTATAGCACTAGAGACCCACGAAACCGAGTGCGCTTCAACTTGACATGCAGATTCAATGATTTTGAAATTTTGGTAAACGAAAATACTAAAGTACGTGCTTTTTTTACATCTGAAAATATATCGTGTAGAAGAAAGGACAGGACATGATGCAAATATTAGATCACAGATCACAGTGATGCAATATAGGTTAAACGAAGCATATTTGCTTACCGCTCCCAAAAAAAGTTAAACAAAAAAGATACGACCCATAGGCGTACAGAAAAAACATAAATTGACAATTAGGAAGAGGTAGTCTTGTAACTAAAGGTTTCTAATAAAAAAAAAAAGTTGGGTTCACTTATATGCCTTTCCTTACATATTCTATCTTTCCTGTACATGAGGTTGCGTTTTTCATCGCTTACTGTGAATTCTTACCTCGGTTGGTAAGGATCGCATAGCAATAGGTGACAACAGTTTTAAGCGAAGCTTTATATTCAGAGTTATAAGATATTATGCAGATCTATTTTGCAATGCATTGCAGAGAAAAAACGAAATTAATTCGAACAAAGCCATTGAGGCTGTTCGCTGCAATGATTAATTAATTACTGAAAATTTATCTTCGACCAGAATTTAGTAAGTAATTGGTGGACCCGGACTACGAGGTCTTGTTTAGCTGACCAGCTGGTGGTATCACTTGCGTGTAAGCTGAGCCTGTCAATATTTGCAGTGCATATGGGGTCATCTGCTGGCAAGCTTGATGATATGCGGTAGCATGTTTATAAACAATTTCGCACTTCCCGTCTTCCTTTATATAATCTTATTTCATTGTCTACAAGACAGTGGATAGCTGGTAAATATATCGTTAAATCGGGGTGCAAAACATTCGCAGCATCATTCGATATGTTTTTCCGAATTAATTTTGTTTGTTTGATTTTAATCTAATGCCATTGAGAAGTCGCAGTCTCATTAAGAACACTGCGCCTTCTAAGAGATAAAATACTGAATGCAAATATATTTGTTGTATTTGTTGGTGACGTGACGTAGGTCAATCCAAGCCTTAAGTCCCAACTAAAACTTCGTACAGACTGAGTTTTTTTGGACGAAGTTGAGTAGACGGAATAATGGCAAGGGCTCAAAACCAGGGGGAAAAACGTCATACCGATCCACACAATATACGTACGGACCCTATTTGTTAATAATGCTTTTGTACACTTAAATTTGCATAATCAGTTTTATCAAAACTTTAACATATAAGAGTGTTCTTAATTTACTTGTAACTGCCTAAACATGCAAGAAGCAGGTATTGTGCAGTGTGTTACACAAGATGTTGTTGTTTGTCTGCATGATTGCAGGAAATGTTTCGGCCGGACGGCATTGTGCAGCGGCGCACTGCCGCTGTCATTCAGGCGAATGGCGCAGGCGGGGGTAATACCGGTGAAGATCGCGATCGCGAAGAGGCCGACCGAATCGGGAAGGATGGAGACGGATGCGACAAGGACAAGGAGACTCGGCTAACACTTATGGAAGAAGTCCTTTTACTTGGACTCAAGGAGAAAGAGGTGAGATTTTATTGAATAGAAATTAAAAATATGAGAGTATTATGACTACACCGTGAGCTAATCTCTATTTACTACAATTTTTTTTGTAAGATTGTACGGATGTCAAGTAATTCTTCCCTTGTGCAGCTTTGTATATTGGGTTAGACAACATGAAAAACTTCTCCGAGTATGCTTTTCAGTATTTGTCGAGCTTTGAATCGCTAGTTTTCTAGTACCTGAGCGGTGATGTTTGTTTTTGTTGTCTGATTTTCTTTGGGCAGCTTTAATCTTCTGTTGTTATGTGTTTCGAATGACTAATTTAGTGTGAACCCAATTGTAATTCATTGTTTCTCTAATAAGCTCTAGCGCTTATAAGCAGCCATTGGCATCATCCTTGTCTTTTCATATATATTTTCCTCGATAGCAATTAGTGAGTATTTTGATAAATCTATGCGAGTAACGAATCCTCTAAGGTGATTTAGCTTCGTTTTTGTGTAATCGCGGTTTTTTGAGTGTCCCGCTCTCTAAACGGGTGTACCGTCCAGTGAAGTTTTTCAACTTCGATATTATTAACAGTTCAGTAGCTGCGATTGCCTGTAGTGCTGCTATAACAACGATGATGTAACCATGATAAAATTGTTGTCTGTAAGTAAGGGCTTGTTCTGCTCACTAGGTATCGCCTTATTTCTAACCTTCGCTATGTTTGTTGCTGGCAGCAAAAGATCAACCAGTCTAAAGGAAGGAAACTTGATTGCTAGTATTGAGTGGTTGATCAGTTGCTCCACCGAAAGTAAATTTTCGACTGATGCTTTTGCATTGATAACAAAGTGCAGAAGTTCTTTGTGACGCTCGCTGTCATAAATGCTCAATCGTTTTCTTCAATCGATTTTTTTATAGGCTTGCATGGTTGAAAAAAAATAGGTATTAAATTAAGAAATGCATCTATAAAATGTTTTCTTTATGGTCTATGGTCGATTCCTCCGGACTCTAACAGGATGCTTGATGAAGTTGTACTTAAAAAGATGGCTTCAAACCGTTAGTATATTTCCTCTGTAAGATGCAGGTATTACAATGTAGTTTAAGCATCGTATTCATTTTGACTACGGATAGGGCAGCAAAGCCACGCGGATGACATTGTCATACAAGTTTTTTTCTTCTTCTAACCGCATATGACACTACTGCGGCAGCTTAAACCGTCACTATTTGTGTGGCTATTATTTACGACAGCCGAGTTTATTGTTCTTGTTGTTGTCGTTGCCATGGTCATCATTGTTGTGCAGGGTTATACATCTTTTTGGAATGACTGCATCTCGTCAGGTCTACGAGGCTGCATTCTGGTTGAGTTAGGTATCCGCGGCCGGATCGATCTCGAGGCGGCAGGAATGCGACGAAAATCTCTGCTCATGAGAAAGGTTTGCTTTTACGTATGTAGATATACATTAAATATAGATACATCGCAAATTTTCTTAACTTTCATTAACTTCTTTTTGTTGTGGTCAACATGTGTACATAAGTTTTTTTTTATGAAAACTGCGTGAAAGTACAGCGGTCGCGATAGTCAATAAACCGCTGTAGCAGACCATTATACCGAGTATAATTATGACGCTTTTTTTCTTTTTTTTTTTTTTTTAACTTTTCACCGGCTGGGTTTGATTGTGCTGTGATTTAGGTTGTTGTCAAAAACGACGCTCCAGTTGGGGACGTAATCCTTGATGAAGCGCTGAAACACATCAAAGAGACTGCGACCCCTGAAACGCTGCAAAACTGGGTCGACTATCTCAGTGGTTAGTTTTCTAACTGAAGCTCCCTAGTAATTCTTGTCAAGGACAGCATATCGAATACTAAATTCTTTTGGCATACATAGGATACGTTCTCAGTATATACAATGATCGTCATTACAAATATCTATAGATATTTACCTAGAAAATACAATATAGTCTCACTACTATGGGTTTTGCGAATCTCGGACATAGTTACAGTAAACTTTAAAGTTTTGAAGATACCTTGAAGCAACATTAGTGGGGGTATGTCTTAAACGCCACTCATAAAGATCATTTGTGCGTATTGGTTTCTGCCTATTTCAAGAGCTTAGATAATGCGAAATTTGTATTAAAAAAAAAATTTCTAAAATTTATGCAAGCATGTTACACCTGTAGCTATGTTTTCGCGGTAGTGAAATTCTCTAAATGCGGACACAACAAAGACAAAAGATAGAGGATTATACATATGGTGAGCCCTAACACCTATGTTCTTTTTTTAAATTGTAATGTATATCATGTAGGAGAGACGTGGAACCCACTGAAATTACGCTATCAGCTACGCAACGTTCGTGAGCGGCTGGCAAAAGGCCTTGTCGAAAAAGGAATCCTGACGACGGAACAACAGAACTTCCTACTTTTTAATATGACAACCCACCCACTTGTTGACCAGAATGTCAAAGATAAACTCATCAAGCGTGTGCAAGACTCTGTTCTTGCCAAATGGGTACGACGATGTCGTTATATTATTACTATTTGCTTCAAACTTCAAGTTTGAAATTATTCAAACTTATAGCGAAGTTATAACCTACAGGATGTTATAACCTGCAGGATAATTAAGAAAATCCTGATTGAAAGAGGAATCTTTCTCTAGTGAGTGAAATAAACTAAATTTGTTTCCTGTCGCAGCGTACCTAAACAAATGTTGTGCACTCAACATAAAACGAGGAATCCTACATTTGCTGGCTTACAGCTGCTCCTACTAAAACATTGATTATAAGCGAATGACCGATACTCTAATAGTAGGGGGTTATTATTTTTAGGTGAATGACGTTCACCGCATGGAACGGCGGCATTTGGCGCTATTGTTACTTTCACATGCCTCGGACGTCCTTGAGAACGCGTTTAATCCGCTATCCGACGAAGAATACGAAATGGCTATGCGTAGAGTACGCGACCTTCTAGACATGGACTTCGAGGCAGAGTGCGCCAAAAGTAACTAAATGACCACGCATTTTACGCGATTTCACCGCTTTTGTGCAAAAGGCCAATTTTAAAACCATTCATTTGTATTTTGAAATGAACACTAAACAATTTCTCACGTGACTGACTCCATATAGTTAACCTAGTTAAACTGTTAGCTAGGTTCTAGGCTATTTTTATATTAGTGAAAATAACGTATTTTCACTTTAACGTAAAGAACTTGACGGCACACGTGAGACAGCAAGCGAACATTGCATTCATGTAAAGGCTTGAAACATGATTTCTTCATCGATACCACTTAACTGGAATGGCGTTTGTAGACGGTGGCCGTCTACTAACTAAGCCTGTTTACCTCTATTTACAGGTCAGACGTGTGATATCATGTGGGGAGTGTTCGCCGCATTTGTCAAATAAAAAAAATTACCATTAGTAGTGGTAGTACGACAGCAGCAAAAGCATTCACGAAGGAGGGGCAGGAGATATTCTTGAAAAAGAAATGAAGTGCAACAAAAAACCGACCAGCACAGGAGCTAGGATGAGCGGGCTAATAATAATAGTAGAATGAAGAGAATCCATCGTCATACGCCACTAATCCGTCGAACCGCCTTTTCGACCTTTTCACGAACAAGATAATCCATAGCGATAATATTTTATTCAGAATAATGCATTTTTTGTTGAGTTCTTTCTTATGGATAAACCAACCGAAGCAGGTACACACATAACACGTGCATGTGACATAAAAGTAAACCAATACCGTGTAACACAGGCGCCAGAAACGGGGGAGAGCACCCCAGTTGATCCTGCCGTAGATTTCGAACAGTGAAGCAGATCACGACAGCGATTCAAAAGCAAAGTAAAGTCCATAAGTGTTTTTTAAGCATCCTCAGTATCAAAGAGTAAAGGATCCTTACAACCCTGGTCTTTGTATCGCTGTAGGTAATCGCAGAGTTTACAATTAGACTAAGCACGAAACTGACTTTATTCAATCTCATTAATGACGGCAATATAACGCAGGGCTTCGACTGACTACAGTGTCCGTTACTAACCCAGATCTGTTTTCGTCTGTTTCACGCTGTCTCTCTCCTAGGCGACAGCCAATTACTGGTAAATGAATTAATGAAGGGAAAAACGTTTTTATGAACACTTGTTTATTATTATTACTAATTTTAGTGTTACAATACTTCCGGAAGAAACAATTTTATTATCTTATCTCGTAAGCCGCAAGGTATGTTTCCTGGTAGGAGAAAAATGAGAGATACCGTTTTGGTGTACAAACAACCCAGCCAGTTGGCCTATGGCAGTCGGATCAGCGTATACTAGCACTGGCAATCTGATAAGCACCGAACTGAACTGATACAGAGCATATGAGAGAGGCAATGCGCGCATGATCGAAGAAAATTTTGACCGTGATTGTTACATTACGAAACAGCGAATTCAGCAAAATGATTTTCTTCATTATTTCATTCGTCGCCCTAGTTAGTTTAGCAATTATGATAAGAAATAAACGGCAGTATACACAAGAAGCAGAATCATGTTATGTAATTCCCTGTGAAGATATAATTGACAAACAAAAAAAAAATAAGGAAAAGACGAGAACTGTCCGAACTGAAGTGAGAGGTTGGCGTGCGCGAACATTTGACAAAGAGGTTGATTTGATCTAGCAAATACTCATCCTGAGTATATCGAGTTTTGTGGAAATATATGAATAGATACAGTGACAAACACAACACACGAACACGCATCCTTGCCTGAACACACGTTAGTAAGGAAAAACCGTTGTTTAAGTAGAAGAAGACCGAACGGGTTAAGGGTGCGATAAGAAATAAGCAAATGAAAAGCCCACTGAGATAATGGAGACGAGGAGAAACATACGTTTCTCTCTCTCATATATATATATATATATATGAATTTACGTTATAGCGCAGTTTGGCGGGGGTCTGCCGGGGTCAGCATGTGGAATATGTAATGCTGGTGATTCTTATTATCGTTACTATTAAATGATGATCACGATGACAAATACAGGTAGTACTGGTAGACAGTTGGTTATGACGACAGCGACTACGATGGTGATAGAAATAAGTGTATTGATAATACTGTGTACATATAGAAAGAGCAAGATGGAGCTTTCTCTATCACAAAGGTGCGCCGCTGCCGTGCAAGGACTTCATGTTGGAACTTTAGGAGACGGGGATGAGAAATAAGGTTGCAGTTTATATATATATATATCTGTATATATATATATATATATAAATCATGATTATGAGATGAGCATTGACCCAAAATATTCGGGAGGGAACAGTAGAAGAGTAGCTCAATCGCTAATAATAATAATAATAATGATAATTAATAAATGGCACTTATGAACTGATCGGATGAAAACTGTAAGAATTGCTAATAATAATAAATGCATATGGATAAAAAAATAGTAATCTATATGCTGACGTTAGCAGAATACAGTGTGGATACGGATAAATGAATGTATTAGATGAAACAATGATTTTACGTGAGATACAAAGTTATAAAAGCTCATAAAAAGAACGCAAGTAAGCTGACAAGAAAGCAACAATTGAGCCGCAAAATAAATTAACGACAATAGGAAAAATATTTGTTCCACTTTTAAAACGCGCACTTTTTTTGAATTTGTTTACATAAGCTTAATGCTCTACTAATGGATACTGGATGTGGCAGCAAATTATGTAGCCCCATGGTTTACGTAGAGAGGCTGGCATTTTAGGGTTGCTGGGATGTATTAAACCTAGATATGGTATTGTGTCATACACAATTTGTACACAACACAATTGTTGTGTACACAATACACAGGTACACAAATACTTCATTACCGTCTTTGCCGAAAAAGTTGCCCAGTAATTTAAGTAGATAAACTACTCTTCGTGCTATTAATATAAGCGTGTAAATCACAGTCGACAGTTCTGGCTTGAATTAATTTTTTTCTTGAATTAATTGAATAATTAAAATTATTTTTCGAAATGGTCTGTTAAGTTTTGTTAGGTGAACGTTCGGGCGGAAACAATCGTGGATTAACATTTTTGTTTTAGGCTACTCCTAGTTTGAAGTTACTATAAGGTAAGACAGCGTTGTTGTTACTTGAATATCGTACAGATAAGACCAGATTGGTAGCTTGAGCTTTCGGTAGACCTCTCAACGAAGTTCATTACAAAATCTGATACGATTATTATTATCAGAAACAATGTTTTTTTTTTTTATTCTAGAACGCATTTGAACGCTTTTGGTTTCAAAATCCCTTTTTATATTTTTTTCAAAGCTGCTTTTCGACAAAAATGAAAAAGCCGCTATTGTGAATCTGGTAGCAACGTATCGAGCAGGCTTTTGAGAAATGATAGCACACTGTAATAATAATAATAATCATATTCTAATTATTTGTAATAATACTCAACATAGAGTTTAAAAGTAGAATCTTGAAGCCCCACTTTTGAAACTATGAGTTTTTAAAGAATTTACGTATGCCATAAATTGAGTTCAATTAAGAATGAAGTGTGATTATCGTTCCTAGGCTTGTGGTTTTCCAGAAGCTTCTATATGTATATTGTGTATGGGAGGAAGCATAAAAAGTGTGTTTAGGCTGGAAAAATGTGTAATTTCTAGTTAGTGTTCTAGATACATTATTTCGGTTTCCGCCAGTATTTGGATTCAAGTCAAGAGTATAATTTTTAATGTGAAATTAAAAAATCGAAATAGAAAAAAGTTGGTGACTTGCTGTATAGACACTCCTAAGCGTTTGGAAGAAAATACAGCATTTAAGTGTTAAAGCATTTATAATTACTAATTATCGAAAATTGTCGAAAGACAGGACTCTCTGCTACATTTTCAGCCTACTTTAATATTCATGGAGATAGGAAACGACAAAACCAGCTTTATTGTCTACTTTGTAAACTGTATCAGCTACAACGTTGCCATAAGTTCTCATTATTCAACTCAGATTCTCTTATTATTATTATTATTATTATTATCAAATAAGAATAATATGATAAGGGAGTCCAAATTTGAAAGTATAATTCGAAACAGACTCGATTTGTGGCATCGGTGTACCACTTGCAATCTTTAGGCCGCCCTTTCACATAGCTTTTATGTCTTCAAAATAAAACGGTGAAAATGTTAATCCTTATTATATATTAGAAGTCTTGAAAATAAAACAATTACTAGCTTTTCTTGTTTGAGAAGCATGCGGTACGAACATAGTAGTACAAAAAGAAAGCGAAAGAAACGTGTTGGCAAAACGCACGTCGTTGTCGATTGATCTCGATTCGATGATGATGATCTCGCATTAAACGAGATTTAGTTGCATTTGTTCTAAACGAGCCTTAATTATTTGTTTGATTGGCATCGGCTCATGCACGCTATTCAGTCTAATTGACGTATCCACACATACGGTTCATATTTGCTCAGTGCCGGCCTCTTAGCATATTCGTGTAACAGAACAGTATTTCTAAAGTATCGTTATGGCCTTACGAGAACGATATTTATACGAGTCGTTTCCATATCATAGGTACGTTCTGTTCCTTTATATTGTACATTACCAGGAGCTGCGCAGCACTTGTAAGACGTTTTTCCAGCTGTACTTGGTACCGTACGCTACTGCGTGAGGTTAATCAGGCGTAATGAGGCTCCTGCTATCACAATAGCTGATTGTACCATACATTTTAAAACTTTAGTTCTTTTTAAATACATAGTTAGGCAACGCAGGCGAAATGTCTTCTGAAGACAGGCGACAACTGGATTGCCTTTCTAGCATCTTTATAAACATATTTTACTCCATTGCATTTATAGAAACAGAGCTAAAAGTTCTAGTAAAGGATATTATAAGCGGTCGCACGTCTCTTTTACACTGAAAATTACTCTTTTTATTTTATATATATATATATAAATAGAGTAATTATATATAACTTCACAGTCAACTATCAGCTACGCCACACTCTCATGTACCGATACCTCAGACAATCCTCTAAACAAATACTCGCCGCTCTACGAGTAGCCGCATGATTATCTCAAGACTTGGTAGGTTCTCGAGGGTCCGCTTCGAAGTTTCTGAGGTAAGATACATGTACAGGTCGGTCAGCCAATCGCAAAGTAGGCAAACGGGGCAAAGAACTAAAGATCAGATGCCCTTGAACGTTCGCCGAAAGGGAGGACTTCTTATCTGGTTATGTTGCTGATACACTTAGTCTCTGGTATAGTAAAACGGAAACTAGGTCCCATACTCATTATGTCCAACATTAGACCCGTTCAATCCCTGTTGCGTCTAGTTAGGAAGCGCGCTTTAAATTAAACGCGTCTATGTCTGGGTTTACTGTCGCTAGGACAAACTAATATTTTTGCCAGCATTGTGGATTTTGCATTTTTATATCGAATGAAAAATGAGGATAAGTTGCCTGGTGATGTGTGTAGATTAAGACACCCTAGTGAAGTGCTCGATAGTTGGTATATGATGAACGAAGATAATGCCATAGATGATTGCAGTCCCGACACGAAAATCTCGGCTGATTAAACAGGGATTGTCTGTACGAAACAGTATTGAATATAACGTGGATTATGTACGCAATTATTATAGATAGTACAACGAGTGAGCAGTCCAGCCCCTCTAGATTTAGACTATCCTGCACTTTTTTTTGGCCAGTGTCTTTTATGCGTGTATACATCTTGGTAGCTGACAGGAAGCTTTTTTGTGATTAGAGAAACATTACTCTAACACATACATTTGTATAAGCGTGCACTGATAAAGCGAGCCAGATCATCGTGGAATAACGCGAACAGTTCCGAAAATATTCAATGCTTGCTGTTTGTCAGCTAGAAATAACCATTCTTCTTTATGCGAGATATATATATATATATATATATATATATAATATAACTAACACTTAAACCTATTCAGCATTATCGTCAGACTAATGCAAATGATGTGTCCGTGACTATAGGATCTCATTGCTTACTACGAAATGAACTCTACCTTGAAATTTGCTACAAAATTCGGCTGACTGATATCGCTCCTGAAAAGGAAATTTGTCTTTGTGAAATACACCAGCGGTGCACCGTCATGTTTAAATCCTGTGGACTTTGCGTAAGTAAAAATTATGGGAAGACTTCGAACGTCATTTTGGCAACGAAGGGACCCATGGTAGTTAGTGAGTCCCTTCGAATATTAGTCGTTATTTTCACAATGCTAGTTAATCTTGTATTAATTTTTTTATTGACGAAAGGACGACCTGCCTTTTCTGCCAGTCAGGTGACACGGTTATTTTTAGAGCAGTTTAAATTGAGATAGGTATATATGATTCATGAAGGATCGCATTGATTGGGCTAGCGCATTATTGGCTAGAGTACGATGGTATAGGGAAAAATGTTTAGTCGATATTCTTTATCCTAATGTGCAAGTTTATCCCCAAACGATGTTAATCGTCGCCATATAATAAATAGGTAATGATTCTTTTTGGGGTTGGTTAATTTTATTCATGTTTTTCCATAACTACTAACGCTTAGAATATTCGACACCCTTTGCTCCCTAAAAATGCCTTAGCTAAAATTTGAATCGCTGAGGGCATTCTTAATAATGAAACAGATTCAAAAATATAATAATCCATTAGGCAAAACTGCACTTTTATTTACAGCAGAATTGCACGAAATATATACTGTGAATACATGACTCCAATTTTAGACTGAGTCGGCGAAAATCATTGTGTAACAAAACATCTTTTTGAAATATGTTTGTGCTCTACGGTGACGCAAAAAATACCTTACATAGTGTGCATAATGTACCGGTAGAACTATGTATATATAAGCGGCAGAAAACATTGTAATCTGCACATTTTTCGGACATTATTAAATCTCTAATTTGTTATTACTGTTATAATAATACTAATTATTATTATTAAATCGACTTTGAACAGTTATCGCGTTTGTGTTCATTGGATGTCTCTTGGCATACTAGTAGTATCGTAACAGGTATCATTCTGATTTTAATCTTGGGGTCTCCCTCTTATTTAACTTTCGAATTCTGCAATGATGTTTAGCCAGATTAGTCTTGCCAATAGCACTCACGGTTAACTCGAATGCTTAACTTACCGAATCATCGTTGCTTGTTAGGCCTAGTCTTGCCAATAGCACTCATGGTTAACTCGAATGCTTAACTTACCG